AAGAGATTGTAGGGATGGGTGAGGGGAGATGGCCTAAAGTGTGTCATATCGAGGAAATGAGAGGTGTAATAAATAAAAATGCATCAATAAGGGGAAAAGCGGTGTGGGAAATGTTTGCTGAGATGGGTGTTACGGATGTGTGTAAAATGATTTGGGAGGGAAAGAGTGGGGAAGAAATTTATAATAGATGTATAGAAGGGTTAAATATGTGGTGGGAGAAAAAGTTGGAGGAAGAGTGGGAGGCAATAACAAAGTCATCCTACAATATAATGTACAAGCAACTAATACCAGGTAACGGAGGGGCGGAATATTTAAACAAAATAAATAAAAAGAAAGACGATAAGGAAATGTGGGCGAAAATTAGATGAGGGAATATAGGGAGAGCGAATAAGAAGGGATATAGGGACTGGGAATGTAGGCTATGCGGAGGATCTGAAGAAACTTTAGCTCACTTATTTTATTGTGGAGTAGCCATACAGAGTCAGACTGAAAGAGTTAAAGAGTTCATGAGAGTATGGATAGGTGACAGGTGTGAGCAGGAATTGGGGGGAATGATAATAGAAATGCTGAGAGGAAAAGTGTGCGAGGAAGTATGTGTATATAAGGGTATGTGAAGAAAAATTGAGAGAGAGTAAATGAATAGTGTTAAGATAGTTAATGTGTAAAACGTAGTAAAGGCTCATTGAGCATACACGAGATGTAATAAATAAATAAATACAAAGCTTTTTGGGCTGCAGTCTAGGACCCCATGGAATTAAAAATAATGGATAATATATTGTGAATTTAGAAAATAAAAAAATAATCTAAATGCTATATAATTTGTATAACAGAACTACAAATAATTGTCCTATTTTTTTCCCTATCATTAATGATAATCATTTTTTGACAAAACAGTAATTAAATACCATATTCACGCCCCCCCCCCCTATGTACATATGGTAGTAAACAGACTAGGGCTAATTACATCGATCAATCGATTATTTTCTTGCATAATTTGTATACAATCGAGAATCTATTATTAAATTTAATAATTTCCCAGTCATTTCTATCTTGTAGTTATCTTATCACTTTTCGTACAATAATTACAATTTTTCATCAATATTAATCCCATTTCTTACCCTAAAGATAAATTGTGCTTAACGAATGCTCATTTCGTACCCTGCGCTATATTAGCGTACTGTTTAATGTAAAAGTTAGATATTATTAGATTTAATATCGTTAATATCGTGTAATACACTTATTACTACTGCTTCCTCATTTTCTTATTATTACGTGTTTCTATATGTGCTCTTTCTTTTTGTATTTATTTGTATATGCATATATAACACATGTAATGTGTATTGTAAACTCATCTACATCTAAGAGCTTCTTTATGGGCTGCATACAAAGCTTTTTGGGAAAGGACTGGTAGAGACCTACGAGACGACCGTATTTACCTAATGAACTCGCTAATGAGAACGGTGACACTATATGGGGTGGAGGTATGGGGATGGGGAAAGTTGGATAGACTAGGTAAGGTTCAAGGAAGATATTGTAAGTTGGCTTTGGGGGTAGCAAAAAACACGCCAAAATATATATGGAATAATGAGTTAGGCGTAGAAGATATAGAGTACACAATTAGGGAACGAATTTGCAGTAGTGTTGCCCAAACGCAAGAACAAGACGAGACTTAGCCAGTCTTGGTCTTGGTCTTGCGCCAATACACCTGGTCTTGGTCTTGGTCTTGGTCTTGCGCTCCCAGTCTTGGTCTTGGTCTTGGTCTTGCAGCAAGAGTCTTGCAAGTCTTGCAATTACCTATTAGTCTATTACTATTTATTAAAGTTTACTTTAAATCCTAGAAAAACGTATTAGAATTGGAACATTGTGAGCTTGAATGAATATAGCCATAGTAAAGATCAAGCAGATTAATAAATAACTGAAGATTTGATAAGAAATTCGAAAAATCAACTGACCTATATGTCGTTTTCCATGGAAGTAACTGTTTCTTAATAAACATTTATGATCCTTGCTTTCTACCGCGCCGCCTCGCCACGTGCCGGCTCTATGATAAGGATGCCGCCGCAAATCAAACAATAATATAAAGCGTGTAAAAAAATTCGAAATTATTTTGCATGAGTATACCTACACCCTATGGCGGCAATCAAATAGTGTCAAATGTTATGATTTCGGCGTGGCGGCAACGATTGTTTTAGATTTCAAAAGAAGCCGCCGGCGCGTGTATCATAACCATGTACTTCCGAAAAGCGGCAAATTTCTTTGAGAAGTAAGTACAAAACCTTTGATGCCGCATTATCAAAGTGCCGATGGTTAAAACATAACTATGCATGCACTCAGTTTGATTTTAATAATTTTTTTATTCGCTATGTTTATGGTATTAGTCGTAATGCGCATAGGTCCAGTTTTTCATATTCTTTGATACAGTTTTTTGCGTCTCATAGAATTCCTAAGCGTACCTACCTATACACCGAACTGTTACACCTAACTACTCAGTGAAATAGCGCTAAGTCCTAGCTGCAAGACGCAAGAGTCTTGCAGGCTATGTCTTGTTCTTGCTCAAGTCTTGCACGGTCAGTCTTGGTCTTGGTCTTGCTAAAAATACGCGGTCTTGTTCTTGGTCTTGGTCTTGCAAAAACGCAAGAACAAGACCAAGACTGCAAGACCAAGACTGAATTTGGGCAACACTAATTTGCAGGTACTTAAAAGAGATTGTAGGGATGGGTGAGGGGAGATGGCCTAGGTGTAATAAATAAAAATGCATCAATATGGGGAAAAGCGGTGCGGGAAATGTTTGTCGAGATGGGTGTTGCGGATGTGTGTAAAATGATTTGGGAGTCGGATGTATAGGAGGGTTAAATATGTGGTGGGAGAAAAAGTTGGAGGAAGAGAGGGAGGCCATAACAAAGTCATCCTACAATATAATGTACAAGCAACTAATACCAGGTAACGGAGGGGCGGAATATTTAAACAAAATAAATAAAAAGAAAGACGATAAGGAAATGTGGGCGAAAATTAGATGAGGGAATATAGGGAGAGCGAATAAGAAGGGATATAGGGACTGGGAATGTAGGCTATGCGGAGGATCTGAAGAAACTTTAGCTCACTTATTTTATTGTGGAGTAGCCATACAGAGTCAGACTGAAAGAGTTAAAGAGTTCATGAGAGTATGGATAGGTGACAGGTGTGAGCAGGAATTGGGGGGAATGATAATAGAAATGCTGAGAGGAAAAGTGTGCGAGGAAGTATGTGTATATAAGGGTATGTGAAGAAAAATTGAGAGAGAGTAAATGAATAGTGTTAAGATAGTTAATGTGTAAAACGTAGTAAAGGCTCATTGAGCATACACGAGATGTAATAAATAAATAAATACAAAGCTTTTTGGGCTGCAGTCTAGGACCCCATGGAATTAAAAATAATGGATAATATATTGTGAATTTAGAAAATAAAAAAATAATCTAAATGCTATATAATTTGTATAACAGAACTACAAATAATTGTCCTATTTTTTCCCCTATCATTAATGATAATCATTTTTTGACAAAACAGTAATTAAATACCATATTCACGCCCCCCCCCCCTATGTACATATGGTAGTAAACAGACTAGGGCTAATTACATCGATCAATCGATTATTTTCTTGCATAATTTGTATACAATCGAGAATCTATTATTAAATTTAATAATTTCCCAGTCATTTCTATCTTGTAGTTATCTTATCACTTTTCGTACAATAATTACAATTTTTCATCAATATTAATCCCATTTCTTACCCTAAAGATAAATTGTGCTTAACGAATGCTCATTTCGTACCCTGCGCTATATTAGCGTACTGTTTAATGGTTCATTTGGGCTAGGGTTATAAGATTGCGGTAAGACAAGACAACACGAACGCAGTGGGCGTCGTTTTGTCATGTTCTTCTTATTGTTATTAAGACTGTAAAATATAAAGTACAAAACGATAATTCTTCACGAAAGATACTAAACGGGTTTAAGTCTTTGTCATTACATATATTTATATTCAAAGAATCCTTATACAATCAAAGAATTATGTTCAAGTGCATAAACATATGTAAGTTAAACTTTCGTAACACATGAAACCTGAAAATACAAAACAGATGTACATATGTACCTACGCAGGACTCCCAATTAAAATTAATAAGATACAACTATTAAATGAAGGTAATTACACAAAAATTCATAAATTTTCAGAAACAAACATATTTTTATACTGCAAAAATAATTCTAAAAACCTTAGTTTGTGAAAAAAAGTAAAACTTGATAGTAATAAAGAGTAATTAGATGTACTGTATCTACGAAAAGAAAGCGCTTGCAAGATTATAGAGCTTTAAGGAATTATCCTTTAAAAATTAACATGTGTAAGGTTATACAGAAAATACAAATGAAATTTTGGGATGATAATAAATTTTAAGTCTCAATGAAAATTAAAATGTTTTTATTGTAATTTTGTAATAATGACGGATTTTAACCCCAGTCAGAACCACATTAAGAAAAAATTTAATTAATATCTAAGCTTGCCTATGTTAGAACATTTTATTCTAGAACAATTGACATTAAAAAGTTTATCTTTAAGCCTTATATATATAATTATAGGCAATAAAAGAATGTAATTTTGAAATAAACAAAATTAAGTCAAAATTACAAAAAAAATAATATTTCGGCTTTAAAATTTGTAAAACAAATGCGAAACAACTGAGCCGCTTACTTTTCTTAACTACGCCTAACATACATAATAACAATAACAACTAATCCTTTACTAGACTTTTATTAACCTTGACTGATAACGTAGAAATTTGGCATGATTGTAGACCTAAGTTTGAGTAAAATACAGACGATTTTATATTTTTCGAGACAACATTTTCATAATTCCATTCATTTCAAAAAAATAAAGTAAAAGTTGCTTCGTTCTGTGGTGCTTTCAAAATACCGTAATTTGGCACAAGCTTCTTCTAATTTACAGACAATGGCCAAGTATTGTTTAACTTGAGGACATATCAATTTTAGTCAAAATAAAATTGCACTTTATTTAGTACGTAAAGTTTATTGTTATCTTGAAGACAATTGTTCCTAACTTATATGAACTTGTATCGAATGTTGTACTCTAAATATGAGTAGGAATTGTAATTGCACTTTTATTAAATAAAATAGATGGTCAAGGTCACTGTTAAGTACATATATGAGATACACTTAACGTCAGCCCTTTATTCTAGTAATCGTTTTGTTCATCTTTATATACCATTACCTACCGCCATACACATAAGTGGTCTGTAATAATAATAGTTAGGTGAGATTAAACTGCGTGTTTTTTTAGTTAATTTTTTTACGATGCTCAGAATATTGATTGATCAAAGAACTTTACGGATAATAATATGTGTATTTTTTATTTTAAAAATGATCACCGTATCTGGTAAGCACCAAGTTTTTTTTATATAAATCAATCATAAATTGCCCTAAACGGAATTGTGTAACAATTCTTTTTATATACAGTACCATCTAAGTTCACCATCATAAGGTCATCAGTCCTAAGTAGGGTTGCCACCTTTTCAGGCTTTACATAAAATATTTCTCGACTAAATGGTTCAAAACAAAAGTACTCAGCATAAAAATAAAGTATTTTATTTTTTGTTTTTAAAAACATATTTTTTGTTACACCTAGCAGCCAGTAACAAATTGCTGTTGCTCTTAAATACATTAATAGCCTCTAAACATGGCAAACAAAGATTTAAGTAAACTCAAAGTTCATTTTTAATTAGTTTTTGAAGCTTTATTCCTGTCGTCCCGTCACTTTGCGTTCATAACAGAGAATACTTTTTCTGTAAATGCTGAAGTGACCGGAACGAATAGCAAAAGTTACACTACTTTCAACAGATTTGGGAAATCAGGTTGTTCCGTAAATATGGCTTGCCATTTTTCTGTGCAATATTATTGATGTAAAAATACTCTGAATTTCGAATAATCGCTTACAAAATTACGATGTTTACTTAAGGCCTTAAATAAAGTATTTTTACGTACTTTATGTGTCTTGGAAAGAATAACGTACACACAGTCGAAATAGAGTACAACACTTTATAATAAAGTACGGGTGGCAACCCTAGTCCTAAGACTGGCTGGACGCGCACGTCCACTTTTTCCTATCCTGAGCTAATCTTCGCATTTCCTTAAAACCAGAACATCCGACATCCTTAACTATTTGTGAGCAGTAATCTAATCTAAGTCCACCTCTACTCCTCTTAACTCCTGTTTCTGATTCTAATATATCTCTAACCAGCCCTTCATGCCTGAAAAGGTGTCCTACCACCCTACTTATTGATTTCCATAGTGAAATCTGTTCTCCTAACCTTTCTAATATCTACTCATTTTAAACCCTCTCTATCTACGGTATCCTCATCATTCGCCTGAAGTAACACCACATTTCGAACGCTTTTAACCTTTTCTTTTACATCGCGCTCAATTTCGGCTCCTTTTTAATCAATTTTCAAATTTGTACGCGTACCATTTCGCTTTTTACAGTGGTTCAAGCTAATTTGAAATTATATGATATAAAGGCACAGTTATTGTGTCGTAAGCGGACATGCGTTTTGACGAAAATAAGTTTTGCGTCATTGAAGGAAATGATTCGTAGTTTCAGTACCTTTTTAACCAATTTACCTACAAACTTAAACATCCTCAGCGCGCTTTACTAAATATACAATGCATCAACGCATCTTGTTCCTTCTCCTCATTGACATTATATATAGCGATACTATACGCAAACACCATCATTACAGCAAATATTCTCGCAGTAGTTTTGTACATTAGACAAATGTGTGAAAACTGATTGAGAAAACGTTTAAATTTGCATGACAATAATGAAGTAACAGAACCTACACCAAAATTTCAAGTATCTATAAGAGCAAAACTAATTTTTTTTGCCCCTAAAACAACTTAAACGGGTTGTAAACTAGTTAACATTCGATTATGGTGTTGAATTGGTTCGTACAGACTATGTCGATGACGTAAACACAATCTCTCAATAATTTTACAGTACATACTTAAGCGCTTACGTTAATTTGTAAAATTAAATTATAACGCAGATGTAACTGGAAATTATTTGTTGTTATTAGAAAATTACTGTAATGTACGATTGGAAGAAAGGCCCTAAGTACTTCAAATTAACATTATAGGTCGTAAGGGCATTGGAGATTACCAACAAGAGTGGGGTCACGTTTCTGTAAGACCACACGTTCACATGTTTTGGTGGCTATTTTTTACCACCGCAAATGTTACTAACTACACAGAAAGGCCATTAATTATTTGGTTACAAGGTAATTCTACATAAATTTAATTGTAATCAACAGAATATCAAACCACTTAAGGGTGTAAAGTTTGTTGATTATGAAACCACATCGATGTGCCACATTCGAATATGAGGCTTCCCCAAGGCTAGAACATTACAACCACAAATTAGTATATTACACTAATTTAACTAACAATAAGTTGTACCTAGCATATTTACACAGAAAGCCTCAAATGTTAGTGCGAAACGTTGGTGTGGTTTTATAATTTAAATATTCTTTTTATTTTTTATACCTACTTACCTATATATAACGAATAAATAAATAAAATAAATGGGTGCTTACAATTATTTGTAAGCAGTTCTATTGTCAAATTGAAATTGGATTAAGATAGATAAATGATATACAATTTAATTGATTTTTAGAGGCTTGTCTAAAATTTAAGTTACAATTTCAGGGGGTCCAGGTATGCCATCTAGTGGTTATGGTAATTTTTTAGAAATAGGCCCATTGGACTTGAACCTTAAGATAAGAGAGCACACCTGGTTAAATAATTTTAATTTACTTTTTATTGATAATCCTGCAGATGTCGGATTTAGCTATTTTACATCACCGGAAAGTAATAAAAGGCTGGCTAAATCAGTTGATGACATCGGAAGAGATCTTGTTTCGTTTATAAGAAAATTTCTAAATTTATTTGAACAATTCAGAACGGTACCACTCTATATTTTTGGGGAGTCCTACGGTGGAAAAATGGCAGTGGAGTTTGCCTACCAGCTCTACAAGGTAATGACTCATTTTATTTTCTTAATTTGACAGTGTTTCTATTAAAAAGTTGATAATCATAAATTTAATTATCTTGACTTGTTTGTTTCGCGTCTTTTAATTTGATACATACCGGCACAATGTTAACTAATTTAAAAATAAGAGAAGATAAACTGGAAGACGTCCCTGATTTTAGATATTTAGGGAGTCAATAACTATGGTGGAAAAAACGCTAGGGTTAATAGAAATACAAAACAAAATAGCAAAAAAGACAGTTTTTCACTACAAGAGCATATGGATCTTCAAGTTATTCTTTTTTTATTGAATTTTTATTCATTAACGTTTTTTAGAAAATTGAAAATGGTACAATTACAGCCAATTTTCGAGGTATTGGATTGGGCGGGGCGTACATATCGCCAATAGATTATACCAAACAATATGCACAAATTTTATACAATTTTGTGAGTAAACAATATTTTGAGACTATAACTCTATCATTAGCATCTAATAGTTACGAAATTACCTAAAACTTAAATAGTACGACTTACATACTTAAGTGTTTGCTTGAAATTTTAAGTATAAAAATTTTTTGAACGATGAAATTAAGTATTAAAAAAAAAAACAATAATAAAAAGTTAAAGATTAATTATGTATAATATGTATCAATCATTCGATGTTGTAGGGAATAGTGGACAGAAAAAGTTTCGATAAGCTAGTGAAAATTCAAAGAAAAATAGAAAATTCAATAATAAAGAAAAATTACCACTACGCTATTAAGTTGGAAGCCAATCTTGTGTCAGCAATAGACGAAATTACCCGTGGAATTGACTATTACAACTTCGACAGGGAATGCAATGCAACATCGTTACCAAGTAAATTTTATTAATTACTTTGTATTCATATGTCGCACATTTTTAAAAACTCTAAACATTGAAGAAGCGATGTTAATTTTAATGCAAACTTTCGGCCGATTGTGAGTACCCAAATGTAAATATGAGCATGAATAAGGAAGTACAAAGGCACTTTAAGAAAATTACAGTTGCACTTCCTTGCATACGAAATAAACAACTAAACAACGGCATTTAAAACAGAACGAAAAGGAATGCTGATCTTTGATTTATTGCGTTTGCTACTCGAGCAAATGAAGAAATATGGGTGTACTTTGAGGAATAATCTACTTGTTTGCCTACTATCAGGGGCGAACGCACAAAGTATTTTCGGGAAGGGGTTTTCATAAAAAACATTAAAAAAAGTTACTTTTTTTTAAATTACAGTACACGTTCAGATTTCATTTTTAAATTTTATGATTAAATATTGATTGATTTTACGATTAAATATGGTATAAAAGCAGCTATTAGTGAGGGGTGAATGCAAAATTGGAAAATTGAGTCTAAAGCATGGCGAATTCCCTTAAATTGCAAAAAAAACATCCAGTAAATAATAAACGTTACAAACAAAGGATATTCTAATTCCAAAGAAAACTACAAGTATGTTTTGCCCATACTTATTTAAAAAAATAGTTCTATCTCCTAAATTGTTGGTTTTTCCACTTTTCAAAGCCTTTTAAATAAACCTTTTAAGTTATGAATACCTATTAGGGGTGGTCCATAAAATACGTCACACCTTTCTGGAGCTTTCCCTCCCTTTTCGTCACGTTAAGTCACACTTTCAGCAAACCTTAACAAAAATTACGTCACGAAAGCTAGCCCACCCCTTACAAACGATTTCCTGTAATTAAAATTTGTTAATTCAACACGAACTTTGTTCTACGAGAAAAGTTTTGAAGTTAAACGAACGTCGCATTTCCTTATATTCCCCTCGCCCCTTGTCATATCTCGGCAAGCTAATCAGTACTCATCCCTCACCCTTATTTGCGAACGTATTTTATGAACGACCCCTTATATACTCTCATGCATAGTAAACTTAATGCTTATTAATTTTAAACGCATACTAATAAGTTTCCTATAATGATTACGATAGTAAAGGTCTAGATGATGGCCCCCACCCCCTTCGGGATGGGGGGATCAAAAGAGGAGGTCTCCCCCACTGTACCATAGAAAGTTCGCGGCGGTCTCACCCCCATAAAAAGTTATAGGGGTTCAAAGTTAATAAATATGGCAATTTTTATACATTTCTAGGCATGTAAATATTTATATAGTCATTCTTAAACAATATTGAAAGGTAAAACTAATGGAAAAATACATTAAAATATTGAGAAAGTTATATAAAACATTATTTAACTATCTTTGTCAATAGGTTAGGTTAGGTTAAGTTATCGGGTTTTGTTCAAGTGACCACCCTCTTTCGATCCCCCACTTCCACCCGCTTGAAAATATTTTTTTTATTGAATTTTATTTGAATTATAGTGTGTGAAAATTGTCAAAATAATCAACTTTCAACCCCCATAACTTTTTATTGGGGTGAGACCGCCGCAAATTTTTTATGGGGTTTTACTCAGGTGACCACCCTCTTTCGATCCCCTCTACCCCCACCCCATCTAACCCCCATAACTTTTTATGGGAGTAAGACCGCCACGAACTTTTTATGGTACAGTGGTGGGGGAGACCTCCTCTTTCGATCCCACCCACCCCATCATCTAGACATTTACCATGATTACTAATACGAAGACGAAGATTAAATGGACAGTAACTTTTTTACGATAATAAATACCATAAAAATAATAACAAACGTTACTTACTAAACTTTTTTTTGGTTTTTCATAAAGATGTTCTGCGATTTGAAAATGTTACAAACAGTTTTATGAATAATGTTATCAAGGAATCGTTGAACATATCGGAAAATATAACGTGGAAATACATCAATGCAGATGTTTATGAAGCCCTATACAACGACATCATGAAGCCCGTTACTACAAGAGGTACATTTTAAGAAATCAATTTCAGATTGCAATAGTTTATAACGGAAACGATTACGATTTTAGTTGAGGAACTACTTAATCAAAGTGACGTGAAAATTATTGTCTATAATGGTGTATTCGACTTTATAGTCAACGTGGCTGGTAAGTTAATATTCAAAGAATTTCAGGGTATTTATTCCGTTGTAATTTTATCAGTAACATTTACGTGAATCATTTTCAAAACTCTCAAAATTCAACATTACTAAAATTGTGCTCATAATAGTTTATAGATGCAAATCTTCACACAGCAAAGTTTGACTAACATAAAACTCACAATAATGTAATTTCTTTCAAATAGATACATTATGTGAATGTGTTTTTATATTGCAAATCAAACAAAGTAAAAAAATAAAATCAAATTCCTTCACAAACATTACAATAAGGACACATTCGGGTAATTTTCATTTATACGTAATTAAAAAAAGAAGACGTGAATCCGAACTCTATTTTAAATTTTAATTTGTAGGTTTATGTAACATACCTTTTCAACTTTAATATGCCAAGTAATAAGTAAAATGTTACAAGTTAATGCAGAATACATATAAAAAATACATTTTTGTGCTTTTCCTTCAGAACTAGGGAAAACAAAATTTGACTATCATCATCGCTTTCTTGTCTATTACAATTACAACTTCAATAATTTTTGAAGCATAAAGAACATTCTATGACATTGTATTAACTTTATGAAAATTGTTTCTAGACTTAACTTGAAAGTTTGCTGCTGTTGTCTGAATTTAATGTTAGCTCAAACTCTAAATCTAAGACGATTAGTTTTTCAATCTTGCAATATAAATGTTAAGAGAAAATCTGAATAATAATAATAATAATTACTGCATTCTTTCGTCTTCTTGATAGTACTAATTAATAGTTGTACCAAGTTCTTACACTACTTCACACGTCATGTTAAATAAATTTGTAGGTACTGCTGAGTGGTTGAAAAATTTAAGTTGGATAGGTAGAGAAGAATGGAACAATGCGACAAATCAACTTCTTCAAGTAAATTTTACAAACGAAGGCTATTTCAAACGAGTCAGAAATTTAGTATTCTACAGCGTTTTAAGGGCAGGTCACAGCGTAATTAACAACTAAAATTATTTTTTTATTGTGTTTTCAATTTCTGTTGTATAATTCTAGGTTCCGATTGACAATCCAGCGGCCATGGAAGAAATTCTTAAAAATGAACTTCTAAAAGATGTTGAATTTACATAACTAGTCATAATTTGAAAAACATTGTTGTTAGGTTTTGTTATAGATATTTTATATTAAATATATTGTTAAAAAAAATAAGAGATTGTTTAATTTTTCTTTTCGAAACATGGGACACTAAAAGTTATTAGTGATGACTGAAATTTCACCGGCCACTAACATCAAGATGAAATTATTTAAACAATTAAATAAATTGGTTTCTTTTCACAAATATATTGGAATTCCTCTATCATACGCTTCAGTTGTTAAATCATTTGTACCTAAGACTTTGAAAATGGTTTAATAACCAAAACATATGTACATAGGTATATCAGAACTATTCTAATACATTTGTCAAACAAAATCAACTGTTTTATTTAGTCATTCAATTACTAAAAATTACCTACATAACTTCTCATTAATACCAAAAAATAATTTTAATTCAATTTAGTTCCTTTCGCTCAACCTAAACTTTATCTGGTTGTAGCAAATTTTATTTAAAACAGAAAAATTAAATTAAAAAAAACCTACAAGTATTCAAGAAAATACTGTAAAAGAATTATTAGCTGTAATATTTTGTACGTATAAAAATGTATTATCATTAAAAAGTAGAATATGAAAGTAGCGCACCTATTAATTAGTTAATACAATTTATCATCTTCGAAAAGTGTTTACGCCTTTCTGCCTGAGAAAAATAAATAAGTGAGAAAACTGTATTAAACATTTTTCTAACGTTTTGTTAAAAACAATTCAATTAAGTATTACCTATGTACATATGTACATTCCTTAACGAATAAAAAGGGTCGATAATACATTAAAATTGAGCGAAGCACGTTACCATTTTTAATTGACGATATTATTTTAAATACTTATGTCTTTAAAACTTACCTTATTGTCGCCTTATACGAAATGTAGACCATGGAGTTGCACATATAACACTCTGTCTATAATTTTGAACAACAACGTAAACACGTAGAAAAGATTAAACAATATGCAACTATTTTATGTTTATACATTACTTTATTCAATCGCTTTCGCGAGAATGTTTGTGGTTGTTTTTCAACAGCAAAGACGACTAATCAGATTGTAAACAATGATAAGGAAACTATTTTAATTCAATCGTTTCAATTCGCACATTTACGGAATAAATCGAATTTAAAGGTCAGGCCGAAAGGTCAAAGCAGTTATTATTTTTTAAAAACATACTTACCTCTAAAATTTAACATCTGTGCTATACATGTATAAAACCCGCAATACATGTTGTTCAATTTTTCTCGAAAATTATTTAACGGGAGTAAGACCGCCACGAACTTTTTATGGTACCCTAGATTAGATTACTGTTCGCAAATAGTTAAGGATGTGGAATGTTCTAGTTCTAGGGAAATGTGAAAATAAAGTCATGCTAGGAGAGTGACGGTACCTGTTTGTCTTCCATTACTATAATTACACATAGAAGATCACTCAGGATCATCATAAAACTGCTTGTAATACCCTTTATATCGTAGTATATATTCCGCATTCGTTCGCTCGAAATTATGTTGTATTTTTCGGGTGTTTAGTAATTAGTTAATGCAACAGTTTAAGCCAATTTTTTTTTAAATACTACTGTAATATACAATCTAAAGAAGTTTCACTTCTTACGCGTATACACTAATACACGTTTTATTTTACAGTGGCGTTCCCAAATATTTTCGTTTCATTGGCTTACCCTGTATATTCACACTGTAATTTAATTGTTCATTTCTTACACAAGACTCTACTGTCNACGACCAGATCAGTGTAAATAAATCTCCTTTTTTAACATTAAATTGTTCAACCCTCACCACTAGTCTTAATAAAAATATAAACAGTATTTCCTCTGTCTGAAGAAGCCACTGTTTAACAAAATAATCATTGTGGTTATTAATAAACTATTTTGTAACTTAAACATTATTTGTTCTTGTCGTTAATATTAGTTAAAGAATTAAAAGCTTCAATTAACGCTCGTTTTTAGTTAATGAATAAAAAAAATAAAAAAAAAAATTTTATTGTATTAACGAGTCGATCAAACTATCACATAAACATGAAAAATATCACATTTGAAGATAATACAATAATATAAATTATGAAATGATACTGAATTCGGCTAAAAGTGAAGTGTTTTATGAAATAAAAACACAGCAAGACATTTAGTTAAATAGTACTATCGGTTTTTGCTGAAGTCTCAACAACGAATTATTACATTAAAAGAAATACTTCCATAAATTATATTATTAATGAGTATTTTTATCAAAAAATGCCGATTAAGATAATCAGTACTATCTTTTTTTTTAACGCTATTTTCATTTAATTTTTCCAAATATTTTCATGTGCATTTTAGCAGTATTTAAATACTTAAACCGAAAAAACAATTTAAACATACCTACAACAAATGCTTTAAAAATTACCTTTATAAATGCAGTAATTCGTACTGTATCCATGAAATAAACATAACCTGGAAAGATTACCACCTCCATTTGTTAAGTCGAGATTTTCTGAGAGCATCTAATGCCAGATCTGCTTTTCTTTTAGCCTCTGAATTAATTCTTAGTCTATCTGATTCAGATGAACTTGAAGTAGTGACAATTTCATCGTGTTTTAAGGCCGAATGAACACCTGAAAATAAAACCTTTTTTTATTTACAGTACAAACTGATTTCTTGATATTGGACTTTTGAAAATAAAAAGTTAATTCATTAAAAGACAAACCATACATAAAATAGACATTACATATTTCAAAATATAAACCTCACCTTTTTTAGCAAATAGCTTCTCCAGTATAAACATGTCTTGACATTCATTTGCTGTTTTCATCGTTTTTATCTTTTTTACTTCTAGCTTTACAAGCCCCTCAATTTTTTCGCCTTCTATAGTTCCTGTAGTATCTATCTTAATTGATTTGTTTTTATTTTTTTTAGAATATCTTTCATTTTTATTTTCTGCAGAAGTTTGTTGATCGGATTTTTTCTTTAGAATTTCGTTACACAATGCTTTTTCTTTAATTTTTCCTATTTTCAAGTTATTGTACAATTTTGCAGTTTTTTCAGAGTATTGCAATGCTTTTTCGAATGTAAAATTTGCCAATTTCTCATCATCCACAGTATTATTAACAACTTCTTTAGGACGTAATTTTTTACGATTGTACGTAAGCAATTCACTAGGAGTTAATTCTTTTAATTTTTCTTTTTCCCTCAGTTTTTGCTCCTTTTCTTGCTCAATTTCTAATTGACTGAGTGTGTTTGGTGTTTTCTCGTTACTTTCATTCATTTTTATATTTTGAGAAATCTTTTTTGCTAACTGTTTCATCTGCACAATTTTTTCTTCGGAAAAAGCAACTGAAGTTTCACTTCTCTTCTTTTTAGATTCAGTCTTTTTCAGTTTTTTCTGTTCAAGACGTTCTTGCATATTGATCTAAAACGGTTTAAAAAATACATTAAAATAAATTGATAAACGATTACTCAAAAAAGAGATATATACCACAGAATCTCTAAAAATATTCGTCGTTTCAGGTTTGGAATACTTATTTTGGTCTTGTAACGAGAAAAGGTCGTGTAAATCAGAAGTTTTGAAAAATTTCTGGGTTTTAGGATCCAACAAAACTTTGTTACTTAAAAGTTGTTTCCATATTTGCCTTTGATACATCTGCAATTCAACAGATAAACGTGAATGAATGTAATAAGAAGACATCCAAAGATAAAAATTACCTTTTCCTCAATTGTGCCTGCAGAAACAAGCCTGTATATAGTTACTTGTCTTTCTTGACCTATTCTCCATGCTCTTTCACGCGCCTGTGTGTCAGTAGCTGGATTCCAATCAGGATCATAAATAATAACTCGATTTGCCCCTGTTAAATTAATCCCCAATCCACCCACCCTCGTAGTAAGCAAGAACACATCTATAGACTCATTCTATTAAAAAATCGTTTTTAATTCCAGTAACTGTACTTATTATAAAAATAAAAAAATTATTACCTTGTTGAAATTTTCAATTAGGGACTGCCTTGACGTAACAGATGTGCTTCCGTCCATTTTTAAATAATTATAACCTTGTTGCAAAAGAAACATTTCAAATATTTCGATCATTCCTCTCGTTTGAGTGAACAGTAATACACGATGTTTCTGTATTTTCCACATCTTCAGGAGTGCCGAGACAACAACCATCTTCCCGGAACGTTTGTAAAAACCTAACCGCTCCTCAACAGGAAGATTATCATCTGAAATCTAGAAAATTAAGTTTTAAAAATAAAAAACAATTTACTTTTAATAAAAGCAATTTTTTAAAATGATCAAATTTCAATTTTAATTCTTTATTTTTATCAACTTACTCTTGCTTCATCATCGGCATCTTCAAGATACAAATCTGGATGATTACAAATTTTCCTTAAAGTTGTGATAGCTACGAGAACATTAGCACGCATAAAATTTTCAGAATACCATTTCTTTTTTCCCCTTCCCAGTATTTGATTAACATGTTCACTCTAAAATTTAAATGTCTACTCATGCAACCAAATTAAATTTAAAAAAATCCATTACCATTATATAACCTTTGTATAAATCATACTGTTCATCAGTTAATGAACAAAAAAGTACTTGCTCTGTCTTACAAGGTAGTTGTATACATCGTTGTACTTCGCTTTTCAATCTTCGTAAAAAATAGGGAGATATTATTTCTTTTAATGTGGTCGCAACTGATTGTGCAGTCGCTTCCTGAAAGAAATATGTCATTAAAAAAATATTTGATGGAAAAAAGCTAAGAACGTATTTACATACTTGCATTTGCGAGGCATTATAATATCCACCCTGGACAATAGGGTTAGCAAAATGTTGCATGAATGTTTGAAGAGTTCCTAGAATTCCAGGAANTCTTTTTGCAAATACTTTACTACGTGAAAGTACTACGTCGTATTTCGCATATGCATTCGAAATTTCTATCTTGCGGAATATTTCTAATATTCTATTAATACAAAAACGGGGTGTTTAGTACTTAACGGCTTCTATTCTATTTCAAGTATTTATTGTACGTACTGGTAAAAAAATAAATGAAATTGATGTTTAAGAAGTGTGTTCTTTAAATCCTTTACCTAAATGTTTTTGATACTGGATTCTATAGAACTTACTAACAAGGGGATAATTAACATGGTTTATTAATGAAACATATGATTCTTATGGAATTCATTATTTTAAATTATTTGTTTCAAAAATCTGCATAATTTTATTTTTAATTTAACACCTTTATCCTTGTTTATCTCTTTAATTAATTTACTTTTATTGCCTTAAAATAAATACGACACTATTAATAAAAGAATATAAGAGTATAAGAAAAGTTTACCTATAAATGAACCTGTGTGATGTAGTACTGCAACTCTTATTTCTGGTGCCCATTCCCAGAAGTGCTGAACCCACTGATAAAGTATTGTAGCTGGACATACTATTAGTGTTGGACCGAGGCCTCTGTATCTATAAAAATATAAATGATAATGCAAACAAGAAGGGCATTTTATTAAATACGCCAAAGGATAACGATTTAATTTCATTAATTCACTAAATTAATACAAATTACACAATTTTATTTTGGTCCAGTCATTATTGAGACAATTACAGAAAGCAAAATTAGCAAGTTCTATTTTATATTTATTTTTTTTTTTTAATCAATAGTTTCTAGTTGAATGAATTATTCCATATTTTTCAGTTTTCAAATTTAAGAAGCATAGAGAGGAAATTTTTATTGTTATTTATCTTTAAAAAAAATATTTAGAAATCTGTAAGCAGGTAACACTCAACCCTGATATTTCTTTATTTCTAAATCCCATTTTGAACCTTGCCTACAATGGAACACGACTGAAACAATCAACTATTACATATCTACAGACAGACTAACTAATACTAAAAAAAGTGTATTTTTGAAATGAAACTTACCTTCCTACAATGGTACTATACTGCAAGGACATAAGAAAAACAATTACTTGGACTGTTTTCCCAAGACCCATTTCATCTCCCAACAGTCCACCAACCTCATTTTGATGTAGTTTCCACAACCATTCTATTCCTTCTTGTTGATAACTATGAATGAAAAAAGGTCTCTCAGTATTTAAATATTATACAAAGTCAGAAATACAGTATGCATACAATATTTAAATCAGAGATCAGTATTTGACTGAAAGTGGTCTAAATATACAAACCAATCTAACTAATAATTAATGTACTAATTATTAATTTATGTGCTTATCATTTAGTATTTTTATATTATTTTGGCAATAAAATACTGACAGAAAGTTTATTTATACACTGACCCAAAATGGGTTTAAATACTGGCCATTTAATTTGTTGCCAATAGAAAAATACACAAAATTTTCACACAAACTAACATTGTAACAATATAAAGACTACCATAAGAATACTTTTGTCTCATTAAATAACTGACCTGTATAAATTTGCCCATGTTTTTGCAGTTATTTTTAACCCTCCTTGAAGTATAACATCTTCTAGTCCTTCATAATCATTATGAAGCAAAATAAGTTTTTCTTTTTCTAAATTTTCATAATACAAGTTCAGCCTAGTTTTGTATGCTTTAAGGCAACCATCATCTTTAATTTTTTTCACATTAATAGTTTTATCTTTGCTTTCTTTTTTTGTGTCACTCTTTTTTCTTTCATAGTCTGAATCATCTACAAGTTATCACTAATGAATATTACAGAATGCTTATACCTATTTATAAAATAATACCTGAAGGTCCTTCTGAAGGAATGTATTCATCATCAGATGGAGGATAATTAGATAAACTATCTCCAATCCCCTCATCATCTGAATAAGTATGCTCCTTTTCTTGATGTCCAACATATTGGCATTTTCTGCTACACTTATTTTTGTTAGATGTAACACTTATTGTTAATTTTTCATTTGTACTACTACATTCAGTCTCCTGATTTTTGTCAGTTTTATGTAATTTTATTTTCTTGGACTTAGTACTATTGTTAACCAATAATTTTCTCTTTCTTAATTTATGATTTTCTTTGTTAAGTGAAATTTGATTTGCAATGGATCTACTCCTTTCACTTACTCCAAATATCTTTTTATGCTGTTGTATTTTTTGTAATTCTTCCTGCTTTTTAATAAATGCTTGTATGTCGAGGTCAATATCACCTTTTGTGTTTTTGATCTTAATGTCAATAATTTCTCCTTCTTCTGTATTATTTATAAATGTCTTCTTGTCAGAAAATGTTTCAATTTCATGTAATGCCTGCTGCTCAAGTACTTCTTGAGACTGTTGCCATATATTTACACCAGTTAAATTAGAAATTTCATCTAATTCTGGGTATTTCTAAAATTAGTAATTTAAAGCAAGAGGTTTAATTAATGTCTCACCACATCGTATATGTATTACTTACCACTGATTTAAGAGACATATTTAATAATTTTTGTTTATCAATTAATATTCACCATACAACCATACTAGCAACTAAAACAAATACATTGCACTATATTTTAAAAAATTAATTTGCTTTTGGGGTTAATTTACTTATCTATTGCCATAGATATCTATTGCAATATATCACAAGCATAGATACTTAGAAGTCACAAATTCTGTGGTTAATTTATTAACTTTTTTATTTACTGTAAATAGATTGTATCTAAAGACACATGAGAAAAATCTACTACAATTTTAAAATTTTGTTTAAAAAATTATGTACGTACATATATTACACTTTTCAGGATTTCGTCAGTAATACCTTAATATCTGTTTCTAGTATAAATAAGATAGAAACGTAAAAAAATATTAAAATATTAGCAAATAAGCGACACTACCTCGCTGTGTAGCATTTTTCTTTTTTTTTTAAGATAATGCTGCCATCTTGCATAAAAATTTGAACTGTATTTGATATTGACAATTTAAATAATTTTGAACGTTTCAACCGTTTAATTTGTAAGTGAATAGATAAAAAAATAATTATTTTTTTGTTAATGTTACTCAAATAAATGAGTATTAGTGGAACTTGTTCGTGTTTATGTTTTTCTTTTTAAGTTTTGAAAACTACACGACAAAACTTGTGTAATGGATTCTTTTACTGAGGTATGTAACGGTTTTTTTTTGTATGCAAAATTATATTATTTATTTTCGTTTAAGCGTATTTTGGAAAGAGCCAGGGAAAGGCAAAAGAAGTTGAAGCAGCAAGGTGTTATTGATGATAAACAGTTAGATTTAAAAGAAAATCAGCCTAGCCTAGTAGTTAGTAATGCTGACAAAATTGAAACACTTTCCAATAACTCAAATCAATACAATGATCGAAAAGAAAGCGATATTTATGAGTCGCCACGCCAAAATTCTCTTACAAAATTTTCATCTGACCTCCCAGGATCCCCACAAGCACAATTAAAAACTTTAAACATTCAAAAAGAAAATTTTAATATGGAAATTAAGTTAAGCTCAACTGATAACATTAGAGTGGAAGTAGAGATTGAAGAGCGTAATGATAATGATGAAGTGTTCAAAAATGCAGAAAATATAACTGTTATAGAAAATAAAGCTTCTGATGAGATCCCACCATTACGAGAAGATACAAAAAAGAGATTACAGAGGCTAGGAAAATTATTCTCAGGTAATACCTGTTTAGGAGATGAAATGAGATAGTTTTAAATTAAACTGAGGATAAAAGAATTGGTTTTTATTGTTTCAACAAGAATTTATTTACACTCTATATAATTGTTTAGGCATATTATGCTCTTCTAAAAAGTACCTAATAGGTAAATACCAATAGTTGTAGAATGTAAACTCTTGTTGAAACATTAAAAAGCGATACTTCACTTTGATTAAAATGTTTAATAATTTTTCAATAACACAATCATACAAGTGATTTTAAATTTATTACTTTAAAATAGGTGGAGATGAGTCAGACATTTCTTCTCCAATCCACAGAACAGAAGAAAAATTTCTTGCAGAAGATACTGGTCATAATGATGATAAAGAAAACAATCAAGTTAAATCAACAAGAAGAGGTTTAGGAAAGTTAGCAGCCTTAGCAAACAACATTAATCAATGGGAAGATGATATAACGGTATTTTTTTTATTTTAATTTTTTGCTAATTAATTTTATGTGAACTCTACACTTTGGGCATACTCATAATTTTCGGTAATACAAATAATTTTTTTTGCAGCCACACAAGAAAGTATCTGAAAAATGTGTTAGTCCTAAGAAAAAGCCAGCTATTTCAATGCAAAACACTTCCAAATCAGGAAATATTCCTGTTGGTGACTGTCCAAAACCAAAAGTTGTAACAAATTATGGTTCTAAGGATGAATCTGTCAAAGAAACCCCCAAAACAGTGCAATGGGATCAAAAAGTATTGAAAACATTGGTATAAACATATTTACTGTCATTTAAATGTTTTAAATATGGTAATTAATTGAATTCACTGAATATTTTTAGGAATCCCAAGGATTTACCAGGACGCAATCCAATTCTAAATTGGTTTATAATTACCGTGAAACCCAGGAAAGAAACAAAAATGATAATCAATCAAAAATAAAATGCATATCAAACAATATAATTGAACCAGAAAAAGTTGAAAATGAAATGACTCCGAGGTCACCTAAAAAAACCGTCACTACCAAAAGTGCAGTTGTAGCAAACAAAGCGGCGTTATTCGAATTAAGTCCAAAGAACACAAAAGATCCTGCATTACTTAGTGTATCAGAACGAAAGGCCCTATTTGAAAAAAATAAAGGGGCTGCCCCTCTACCTAAAATACCTGGAATGCCAATTAAAATGCTAAAAGCCAATCCCAACATGCAAAGCAACAAACCTAATTCTATGTCTGACATAAATAAAGTCGGTGAGTCGGTCAACAATTATCAATTAAAAAAAGTTAATGAAATCGTCAACAATCCTTCGCTTAACAAAGAAGAAAAAGAAAATACGCAAAGTATGTCAGCATCTCCCAAAAAAGCGGAAGGAATTGCAAAAACAATGGCCGCTTTATTGGAAAATAAAACGACCATCAGTCAACAACAAATTGAGAGTAGTATAAAAGAACAAAGACAAAAGGAAATGGATTTACTTTTAAACCGGTTTCAGCAAACTAAAGTAAGCAACTACATAACTAACTATTTCTATAGGTTTTGAAGTATAAGATTTAGTCCCTAATAGCTTCATTTTAGAAAGTAATACAAGAAAATGAAACGATTATTGAAACAATGACTGATTCCGACGATAACGACGACGAAGAAATTACCGAAAAAACAGCTATGATAAAAGAACAAAAGAAATCTGAAATTGTAAAGAGACCTACTATCACACCACCACCACCTCCTCCTCTTTCAGAAAGCCCGAGAACAAAAAGTCCTAACAAACGAATAAGTAAGTATTACCTTAATATTTTTTCCCTTAACAACTTTGTACTGAATAAAATATAATGAAAAAATTCTTTTGAAAAAAATACTGTAAACTATTAAAAAACTTTCGATGTTTGACTATAAATCAGTTTACATTCAAAATGTTAATAGAAGTCGTTCTTTCAGTAATAATATAGGATTTTTAATTTAAAATTTGCTTAGGTAACAGTCCAAAGGTGGCAGCCGTATTGGAAGATGTGAAACGGATAAAAGTGGTGCCACCGAAAGAGGGCCGACTCTATCCCTGCTTGTCAGATATTGAAGCGGCCACCGAGACTGAAACTGAGCCCCAAACAGCCTCACCGACACCAAACAACAGGTGCGATACATTTATTGACTGGTGCTTATTTTTGTTTTGTCTGGCCTAATTAATTTATCTAACTAATAAAGCAAATCATTAACATTTTAACATGTTGAATTATCGCAAGAAAACGCTATCAACTACTATCGGAACAGTTAACAAAACTTGAAAATGACGGTTACAAATAAACATTATTTCTTTTTTTCACGTTTTTATATTCCGAAATAGTATTAAGAATATTTGAATTAAAAATACAATAATAAAATTACCATATTTTAAAAATGTAAGTATAATTTTCTGAATTTAAAATCGTACTGGTTTTCTGAAAATTACTCTGCCAGTTGATAGTGTTTTTTGTGTTTGTTTTTAATACGGTTTTTGGTGCTAAATATCAAACTATAAATGCAGTATTTTTTTGGGTGATATGTGTGATTAATATTTTACCTACATTATATTTTTAAATTATTTGATATGGGTGTACTTAATTATTTATTTCACAATGACTATTGAAGAAATATTCCCCAGGTTTATAGTTACAGTGCGCTCTTTTTGCAAATACTTTACTACGTGAAAGTACTACGTCGTATTTCGCATATGCATTCGAAATTTCTATCTTGCGGAATATTTCTAATATTCTATTAATACAAAAACGGGGTGTTTAGTACTTAACGGCTTCTATTCTATTTCAAGTATTTATTGTACGTACTGGTAAAAAAATAAATGAAATTGATGTTTAAGAAGTGTGTTCTTTAAATCCTTTACCTAAATGTTTTTGATACTGGATTCTATAGAACTTACTAACAAGGGGATAATTAACATGGTTTATTAATGAAACATATGATTCTTATGGAATTCATTATTTTAAATTATTTGTTTCAAAAATCTGCATAATTTTATTTTT